TTTTCCTAGAGACGAGGTTTCTTCGTGTTAGTTAGGCTGGTCTCCAACTCCCAACCTCAGGTGATCCAACCGCCTTAGCCTCCCAAAGTGCTGGGATTACAGACGTGAGCCACTGCGCCCAGCCTAATTTTATATTTTTTTAAAGACAGGGTTTCTCCATGTTGGACAGGCTGGTCTCAAACTCCCGACCTCAGGTGATCCGCCTGCCTCGAGGCCTCCCAAAGTGCTGGGATTACAGGCATGAGCCACTGTGCCCAGCAAGCTAATCTTAATTGTCAACACTCTACCCTGTTGTCTAGAAAATACCTGTAAAGGAGTGTGAATTACAGCAGTTCTTATCTCATTTTCTATATTATTGTGTTCTTTACACCAAAATGTACAAATACCACCTACCAAAGTTTACAACTCTCAAAATAAGGCTACGGCCACCATGCTTTAAGAGCATGGCTCCATGTGCTTGTTCGCTTGTGTCCTCTGCCATATGCCTACACTTAAAATAACCTGGGGATATTTACAAATTCCAAAGCCCACGCCATATCATAGACCAATTAAATTATATGCCTGAGACACAGGCTTTCAACAGTTTTTGAAAGTTTCTAGGTAATTCCAACATGCTGCCAAGTGTGAGAAGCACTGTCTCAACCAACTTGTTCTCAGGCAAACTTCTGTTCATCCTTCCCATCTCAGTTCCCAGGGAATGTCTGATGCTCTCCCTCCCTAGGCCTTCTAGCTATTCCTCCTGCGTATCTCTACCACAGCAAGCACTAACCATGTTGTAACTGTTAACTCACATGTCTGCTCCCCCAATCTATTATAAGATTAAGGAGTATTTTTATTTTTGAATTTCCGAATCTAACCCTTTGGCTGGTGCATGGGAGTACTCAATAAATTCATAGAATGAATAACCTTTTCCTAAGAAAAACAGGAGCAAAAATGTAGAGCTGTGTTAATATTTAAATGCCATGGAAAAAGTAATCATTGAGGATGTGTTTACAATAACGTTGCCCTGGTGGGCAATGTCCCATATTTAGAAAAACATCTTATCATATCAGTGAAAATAAAACTATCCCAACATTAAGAAGAAACACAAAATATAACTTTGAGTTATTACTCACAAAATTGCATTATTGTAATAAGCACAGAAAAATGTGTCCTGCGATAAGAGATATCTAAAACAATGCATCCTTTTTCAGCTTCCCTTCCATCTTTACAAGATTATTTATCACTTTCCAAATCAATCCTTTCAGAATATGACAATGTTACAGAAGTTTACATAACTGATTTTAAGAGTTTAAAGTACTTGGTTTACAAAATATTTTAAGAGTCTATATTTTATTTCTACTGTTAATATAATCATGATTCAGAAAATATTCACATAGTGAATTTTTCTACAACCTAATTCTGGACAATAAGCCCACTCTTAAACACACTTTTTTTTTTTTTTTTT